AAAAATGAGGGGGGTTTTCTGGAATGTAAGGGGTATAGGCCAGGATCACAAAAAAAGGTACGTTAGAGAGATGATTGTAGATCAGAAGCTAGACTTTGTGGGACTCTCTGAGACCATAAAGCAAGACTTCACAAAAAATGAATTGCACAATTTGTGTGGAGGGAGGAACTTCCAATGGAGTTGGAACCCACCCAGAGGCATGTCAGGGGGGATTCTGATGGGAGTTAATAAAGATATGTTTAATGTGGAAATTATTGAAAAAGGACAATATTTTTTGAGAATGTTAGTATTTGATAAGAATATCAAAATGCATTGGAATTTGGTTAGTGTGTATGGGGATGCCCAGAAGGAAGGGTCCTAGCTGAATTGGCAAGATTATATCATGATAATCCTCTGCCTTGCTTGGTAGGGGGAGATTTTAACATTATCAGAAATGGGAAGGAGAAAAACAAGCCTATGCTTAATGAACAATGGTCCTTTATGTTTAATGCTATTATTGAGCAAGCAGGGTTAAGGGAGCTGCCTTTGAATGGAAGGCAGTACACCTGGGCTAATAATCAGGAGGACCCTACTTTTGAGAAGTTGGATAGAGTTTTGATGTGCCCTGCTTGGGAGGAAAAATACCCATTAACCATATTGCAGGCCTTTGCTAGAGAGGTATCTGATCATACCCCCTTGTTCTTGGATACAGGGGAGACTCGTGATCACAAATACATTTTTAGATATGAAAATGCTTGGATACTGAGAGAGGGTTTTAGAGAGCTGGTGTATAACACCTGGAATGGTAGATACTTTGGGGACATGTTAGATAGATGGCAATCAAGGTTGAGAAACCTTAGGAAAAAGTTAAAAGGCTGGAACAGAAATATGGATGCTTGGTATAGAAAAATAAAAATGGAAATATTAAAAGAATTGGATGATGATAAGAGAGCTGAGATTATGGGCTTAGGTGTGAGAGATAGGGATGATCAGAAAAAGTTGAGAGCACAATTGAAAAAAGTAATGTTGCAAGAAGAGGTGAAGTGGTTGCAGAGATATAAAGATTCAGAGATTAAAGATGGAGACAGAAATACTAGATATTATCATGCCAAGGTGAATGGGAGGAGAAGGAAAAACAAGATTGTTTCCCTGGAACAGGAAGAATGGGTTATAGAGGGAGATGAGAATTTAATGGAATATATCACCAAATTCTATAAAGAATTATTTGGACATCCTGAAGAATCTAGTATTTCGTTGAAGGAGATGGAGATGAATAAAATTAATGGACAGGAGAAAGAGGAGCTTTTGGCTCCTTTTTCCCTAAATGAAATCCATCAGGTGGTCCTTGGGATGAAAAGAAACAAAAGCCCTGGCCCTGATGGGTTCCCTGCTGATTTTTACCAAGATTTTTGGGAAGTGGTGAAGTGGGATCTGAAATCCTTGGTAGAAGGGTTTGCAAAAGGTGAGATTAATATTGCCAGACTTAATTATGGTATTATTACTCTTGTCCCAAAAACTAATGATGCTAAACAAATTCAGAAGTTCAGGCCTATTTGCCTGTTGAATGTCAGTTTTAAAATCATTACTAAAATTCTGATGAATAGATTGGCCAAATGTGTGGCCCCTGTGATTTCCAGAACCCAAACTGCCTTTATCAAGGGCAGATACATTATGGAAGGGATTGTGATCCTGCATGAGGCCCTGAACTCCTTTCACAAACACAAAGAAGATGCCCTGGTGTTTAAAGTGGATTTTGAGAAAGCTTATGATAAAATCAAATGGCCTTTTGTGATACAGATGCTGAAAATGAAAGGATTTCCTGATAAATGGTGTGACTGGGTGATGGAAACTATGAGAGGAGGACATGTAGGAATCAGGGTAAATGATGAAATTGGCCCGTATTTTAAAACCTTTAAAGGACTGAGGCAAGGAGATGCTATGTCCCCTTTGCTGTTTGACATAGCTGCTGATGCCCTGGCTTGTATAATGAGTAATGCCCTGGAGCATGATCTGGTTAAGGGGGCGCTGAATGGAAATGGAGAAAAAGGGGTTAATATGTTACAATATGCTGATGATACTATCTTCTTGATCAAGGATGAGGTGGAAAGTGTTAAAAATCTTAAACTTATACTTGGGGCTTTTGAGCAGATGTCTGGGCTCAAAATAAATTTTCATAAAAGTGAATTGCTATTATTTGGCAAAGCTAGAGAAAAACAATGGACCTATCAGGATATACTAACGTGTAAGATGGGAGACTTGCCCATTAGGTACCTGGGGATGCCTGTTTCTGAGGATAGAGTTGGGAACTCACACTGGGAATGTGTGACAAATAAAATTGAGAAAAGGTGTGGATGTTGGCAGGGGAAGCTACTGGGTTCTGAAGAATCACCCTGGTGCAAGCCTGCTTGACTAACATGCCTTTGTTTATGATGTCCTTCTATGCTGTGCCTAAAGGGATCATAAAGAAAGCTGATTTCTTTAGATCCAGATTGGTATGGCAAGAAGATGAGAATGTAAAAAAGTACCATCTAGTGAATTGGAAAGAGTGCTGTCGACCTAAAGACATGGGGGGTTTAGGGATACTGAATTTAGAGATTATGAATATTGCGCTCCTAGCAAAATGGTTTTGGAAAATGGAAAATGAAAGAGGTCTGTGGCAGGATGTTTTGGATAGAAAATATAGAAAAGGGAGATGTTTAGCTTTAGTAAGCAAGAAGCCTGGGGATTCCCAATTTTGGGCTAGTTTGTTGAAGATCAAGGAAATATTCTATAGATTTGTTAAGAAAAAAGTAGGGGATGGGAGGAATACTAGGTTCTGGGAAGATACCTGGGTGGATGATAAACCTTTGAAAGAGGCTTACCCTAGGCTGTATGATATATGCGTTGACCACAACATTACTGTGGAAGAGGCTATACAGAAAGGGTGGGGGGGGGTTCAAATTTAGAAGAACATTGCATGGGGAAACTTTAGGGCTTTGGAATTGTTTGAAAAAAAGATGTGAGGAAATTCATTTGCAGGGAGGGGCAGACCAAGTTCTCTGGACCCTAACTGCAGATCATAAGTTTTCTATGGGGTCCTTATATAGGAAATTGATAGCAGTTGGGATAAACTTCCCACAGGAATACTTATGGAAAACAAAGTTGCCTGAGAAACTGAAAGTGTTTCTTTGGTTAGTTAATAAAAAAAAGTATATTAACTAGGGATGTGCTGCTTAGAAAAGGCTGGAAGGGTGGGAAAGGATGTGTGTTGTGTGGGAAAGATGAATCAATTGACCATTTGTTTTTTTCCTGCTCCACTGCTTCACTGTTATGGGGTTTGGTCAGATGTGTGTGTGGATTTAAAACTGTCCCATCAAATGTAAAGGACTATTTTGGGGGGTGGATTAGGAAATTTAATAAAGAGGAGAAAAAATGGTTCTGGTGGGGATTGCAGCCCTGCTTTGGGCAATTTGGAAAAGCAGGAATGCAATTGTCTTTGAAAACAAAAGGATAAATGATCCTTTGTATGTTGTCAAACTATTATGCAGGTGGTTGACTGACTGGTCCGTCCTGCAGATAAAGGAGTCGTCAAGAAAAACTTTGGAGCTGGGAGCAAGGGTGCTAGAACAGGCAGCAAATGAGGTGTTCACTGCTAAGCAGGGATGGAGGATCAATGTGGCAAGGCTGGAATGAAGCTTCTCTTGCGAGGGTGAACCTGATGTTTGTTGCTCCTGATGAGAGAACCCTTGTGTCCTTTCTTGCTTCTTTTGCTTTAGCTGTAATGATGATTTGGCAGTTTGAACTTAGGGGTTAATTTGTACTCAGGTTTGTTGGAATTCATGGCTGGCCCCTGCTGCTAGGGATTCCTGGTGGTGTTGGCAGCTGTGTTCTTTTCTGTTCTTTCTCTTTTTTTCGTTTTTATCTCGCCTGTAGAACTCGGTGGTTTTCAGTAATGAAAATCGGAAGGGGCAAGGCCCTTCTTTGATAAAAAAAAAGCAGGAGGGATGCTAGAACCGGCAATGCAAAAGCTACTATCAGGGTGGCAATGGCTACAAGCAGTTACGACAATGATGTGACCCACGACGGCGGCGACAATGATTTTGCTGCAACTGTCGTCTACTTTTGTAACGACCGGCAATGACATTTCCTACACTCATTCATGGTGTTGCTTCGACCCTCGACGGCGGCGGCGGCGATTTTACGGCAACCGTCATCGGCTTTTGCTACATGGCGTTGTTGCGACCCCCCATGGCAGTGACGATGATTTTGTTGCAACCATCATCTGCCTTTCCTATTACCATCAATGACAATTGCTACAACGAGCGAGGAATGCGCACTATGGAGGGACGAAGACGTCTGCAATGAGCGGCAGTGCGAGCGGGTGGGCTTGCATCAGGTGCTGCTAACGCCGGGGCAATCTACAGTGATCAGTGAGGCAACGCTGGGGGGCAGCTTTTTCCTGCACACGAGATGTCGCAAGGAAGAACTATGGGTACAGTAAAAGAGCTCAAGAAGTATTATGAAGAACTATGGAATTCAAGATAACTCATAAATATATTGTACAAAATCATGAAAAATTAAAATGACAGAATGTTCCAAATTTTTATGAGTTTTCTCGAATTTCCAATAATATTTAAAACTCACAAGCGTTTTTCTTAGAATTCCTTTAATTCCATATCTTGCTGGAAACCTCTTGTTATTTCTATTTTCTTTACATTATCACAGTGTTTGAGAAAGATGGTTGCTAAAGTTGTTCTTTACTTATCTGTTTAATGTAATGACTAGGCTGCCACGTTTCTGAATCAACGTCCATATCATTGCTGATCATAAGCTTTGACCGGGTCAGCGGCCCATTATATTTGTCCAATTTGAAAAGTCAGGGCTGAAGAAGTACATGCATGATATTTAAGTTGTGGGATTAATTTTTAAAACAGTGACAAATAGTAGTCGTGGGGACAAATGTTGTTTTTTATGTAGGTAATTAGGACTATATTTCGTCATGAAATACAAGTCATTAGGTGTGGGCCAGATGAACTTCTTACATGCTTGTGATCCTTGGAGGGCTGGCAGTGGCATAGCTGCAGTTCAGACTATCCCACGTCATAGTCTTGGGAAAGCACGGATCACCCATCCAGTTCTTGTGCACCTTGTACTTGGCCTTGATCGCCATGGCCGCAGATGCTACACGCATGATTGCAGTAGTTAATCACATCGCAGTATCGCACCCACTATTTCAGTAGCACAAGGTAGCTAGATAAATAGTAGCTGTCAACATGTGCTTAATTAAATTGATTACCATAATGGGATTCTGTACCAACGTTGGTGGTGGTGATGACAGAGAACACCTCGTAGGCGTTGATGATGGGCGGCAGCGTGGAATTGGCTGTGGCCTTGATGGATATATCGTAGTGGTTCTGGCGCGGGCTGGGGAATTCATTGTATAAGTTGATTCTGGAGAGGTATTCGGGCTTCACCGCCCTGTTGTGCCAGAGCTCGTCGTTGAGATTGATGTAGAACTGGCGAGAGGCGTTCCCATCCAGCACCTGTAGCTCGGCGAAGTAGAAGACGGCAAGATACCCCGGCGATGGGTTGTTTGGTTGGGGCTCCGTGTCCCAGCCGAAATTGATGCTCCCGGAGGCGTTCAGCGGCGTTATCGCCGTCTGAAGCACCGCCACGGGTGCCTCGAAGCTGCCGCTGTCGAAGCCGTCCACCCTCTCGGTCGTCGACCTCTCTGTCCACATCGTGGCGTCGGACCTAGGGTACCATAGCCGGTCGTATGGATCATCGGGGAACCTGATGATTGTTTCGTTTATCGCGGCGAAGTTTCGCCTGCTCCGCATGAACAGCCCCAGCTCCGCTGTTGCCTGTGGGTAGAGCGACATCTTCAGCGGCCTCAGCTCCAGCCCGGAGATGAAGGGCGTCCCGCCGCCGGTGTTGACCAGGCACACCTGCACCAAGTCGTATGGCACGACTATGATGGCCTCCACCTCCGCCTTGTTGTCCTGGTCCGACCCCCACCAAGACATGTTCACCACCGTCCAGAAGTTGACGCCGATGTAGAGGTCGAACGACGCTGGTGGCTTGTTAAGGCCATCGTAGTTGCCATAGAGAAACGTGGCGCGGAAGAGGTACTTGAGGCCGGACACTAGGGATCGTAGCGTGTAGCAGTTGCGCGCACCATCGGGGAAACTCCGCAGGCTGCGGACGTTCCTGGACCGCCATGGCCGGAAGTTCTCAGCCGAGATGTTGTAAGGCGTGCCGGTGTCGGTGAATCCAGCGTCTGAGGCGTACACCAGCTTTGTCTCGTCGTCGACGTAGCTCTCCTCTCCCTGTAGCCCACAGTCTATGTTGATGAAACCTGCACAATGAATATGCAATGTAAATGAGGCAGCATGATTAAGAGAGAAGACAATAATAACAGAAGATAACAGAAGAGAGAAATACCTCTGCTATCAAGCTGTGCGCGACCATGGAGTACGCTGCCGGCGAGGCAGAGAATCGGCAGCCACCACCGGGGCGCCATTGTTCTACTGGCGCAATTATTGCACATGGAAGCTGCTAATGGAGAAGCGTAATGGTAATATATAGAACATTGCTAAGGACACTACAAGCCTACTAAGCAAAAATGCTACACCTACGTAATATGTTTACGTTCTGTACATAAACTTCCTTTCTAACTAATCAAATCACCCCCCTGAATTCTCAGGTGGGCCCGCATCCCACTTATCACCAGTTAAAACGGGCTGGTTGTGTGCACCTTCGGGTAGGGACACTATTCATGGCTTTAGCTCCTATTATCTAAGATCATGTGGTTGTAAACGTACTAAACGCAACACAATAACACCCCCTCCGGCTTCTTCTCCCATGCACATCTTTGCCTACTTCTTTGCAGTCCTCTCACCCTTCTCTTCTCCATTGGCTCCTCCCATCCCCTTTGTTCCCCTAGAACCGCAACATCTCCTATTCTGGTGTTTCTTCACTGTGACCTCCAACGCCGCTGGTGCAAATGAGCACATAGTTACCCGTGCGATGTTCATGAGCCCCTAAAGATGATGGCGGCAACTGTCGTTGAGGATAGCCACCTCTATTTCCATTGCCCCTGTTAGAATAAATCCGAGGCATACCGTCGATCCACCGAGGACCAAGCAATCACACCAGTACGACACCGAGATTTGTTAACGAGGTTCACCATCATGGCTACATCCCCGGGGCCTGACTACGGGCGCTCCTCCCCGTGACACCGTCACAATACCGCACCCCGGCCGCCCGGGCGCCGGCACACCCGCCGGCTCCCCAGCGCGCCCGTGCTATTATGTTGGCATAGGTTACATCGTGTGTCTACCCCCGATATATATGAGAGGCCTAGGATACAAGTGTCCTATTAGGACACAACTCCTACCCTGTCTACACACAGTCCAAAGCCAAGTCCAACTGTAACCTAACTTGTACAATAATATTCGACACAACTCTAACAAACTCCACCTTGGCGAATATTCTCCACCACCTTGAATTCGTCCGTGCGTCGAACCTCCATGTACATTGGACTTGAGATAAGCCATGAGCACCGCTGCTACTCCCGGACTCCATATGACTCCACCTGCAACCGTAGTCCCTTCTCGTCTTCTTCACAGTCAATACTCGAGCAAAATTAAGTTTCTCAATACTCTACTTTGTGCTCGCAACTTCCGAAGAATCCGTTTAACACCATCACACACCGACCACTGTCTGCGTGAAAATGAACAACTCACGTATTAAACGCCACAAATAAGAGTTACCTGAACTCAACATGAGCACTCTTTCTTGACCGTCTGTCTGAAACTTGAAGGAATTTCACCGTCGCCCTGTGTCACCCTGAGTCAAATTCACAGTTGTCTCATCCTTTTTCCGGATAGTCTCTGACATGTCCCACCGCTATAGCACTCCGCCTCCTTCTGTATTTGTCATCCGCACTTTGCCATGTGCACTGAACACCACAGAATATACGGCCATGTACTCTCTCTGTTTTGACAATTCCAGACTTCCCGCCACTTTCTCGGATTCTTCATGGTCAACTCTTGTCCATCAACTAGCACCGATAGACCTAGTCACCAACTTGAATCTAGTACTCGTCAACACTGCTTCAGCATCCTTGCACACTTTGTCTGACCACATGTCTGACCACCAGTGCCTTGGTCTGTCGCTGTGTCCCGTGCTTACCGCACGCCTCGCCGCTATTACCGCGTCGAGCCTCTGCTGTCCTGGTCGAGTCTCCCGGGTAGCAAGCCCCCACTGCAGAGAACCACCGATCATCACCGACCGATGCTGAGTATCACATCTCCATTAGACCACTAGTACCCAGTCTGAGACCACGTGTCTCTCGCTATCCCGCTGAAATAGGCTTCGATTCTCCGATATCTTACACGTAGCCCCTCCATCAGCACAGAGTGAAGTCGTCCATCAGACTCCAGCTCCACCTTCAACATGACTCCATGTAGCTGCACTATGCTACCCCGCGCCCTGTCGACTTCAAGCTCTCATGTGTACACTGCCTTGAATCAACCCCGCGCCTTAGTCTTGTCGAAGCCGCACAAGCCCTCGGACCTACACCACGTGTTTCCACGCCCCAGAAGTCGGCCACCATCAGCATCACGCTCCTGTGTCGTCATCGCTGAAATCACCGCCGTCTTCTGCTTTGACCAACACCCATGTCAGTCCATCAGACAATCCAGTCCGACCCAGCCGAAATTATCCGACTGCAACCATGCTCCACCTTGCGCCATGACCAGCCCCGTACATCTCAATGCATTGCTAGACGCCCTGTGTTTGCATGATCCTGTCACGACGCGCTTCAGACTCCTCCGAGCCTTATACGCATGTCACCAGCATCGCTACCTGCACCATAGACCATCACGCTACCATACACATACACAACCTGTGTACAAAGAAATAGAGCCAAAAGTCCACCACATGAGCCTTCCTTTATACACTTGTCGGTGAAGATCAATGGAATAAACTCCCCACTCCACATGTGTTCCTGTAGGCTGTAGTTCTAGCTTTTCCTATCTCTTCTTCCGATGGATAGCACCGGTCTCCGTTGGGTAGCTCTTTTTTATAAACAAATCTCATGCACCTGTACGCAAGCGCCTCCACGTTTCAACTTGCATCGTTCGGCCAGCTCCACCTTGGCCTGCCAGCGCTGACCCATATGGTCCAGTCCACATCTTGACCACGCTGGCCCCGCCTGGGCTTCAGCCCACCTGCGCTCACGTCTGCACAGCTCGTACCGAAACCGATCTCGATCGACTTGATCGATGATCTCGCCAAGACTTCGCTGCCTGGACGCTCCGCCACCGCTGATTCCGATCGATCTGGACTTGCACCAATGCCTCGCGCTGCCACGTGCGCATGCGCCTCGGCTGTATGCTCGCCCGTCGATCCACCGATCGATCGCCGCAAGTCCCGCCTGCCGATTCTGATTGCTTATTTTTTCGATCTCGTCGATAGCTTCCGTGCTCCACGACTTCCGCCGAAGGAATTTTCTTCCATCGATCAGCCTAGGCTTCAACCATTAATTCTTTCGCATGTCGTCACCGAAGCTTCATGACTCATCCACCTCTAGATCAATCTTCCACGACCTCAAATCGAACCTTGCTCTGATACCACTTGTTACAATAAATCCGAGGCATACCGTCGATCTACCGAGGACCAAGCAATCACACCAGTACGACACCGAGATTTGTTAACGAGGTTCACCATCATGGCTACATCCCCGGGGCCTGACTACGGGCGCTCCTCCCCGTGACACCGTCACAATACCGCACCCCGGCCGCCCGGGCGCCGGCATACCCGCCAGCTCCCCCGCGTGCCCGTGCTATTATGTTGGCATAGGTTACATCGTGTGTCTACCCCCGATATATATGAGAGGCCTAGGATACAAGTGTCCTATTAGGACACAACTCCTACCCTGTCTACACACAGTCCAAAGCCAAGTCCAACTGTAACCTAACTTGTACAATAATATTCGACACAACTCTGACAAACTCCACCTTGGCGAATATTCTCCACCACCTTGAATTCGTCCGTGCGTCGAACCTCCATGTACATTGGACTTGAGATAAGCCATGAGCACCGCTGCTACTCCCGGACTCCATATGACTCCACCTGCAACCGTAGTCCCTTCTCGTCTTCTTCACAGTCAATACTCGAGCAAAATTAAGTTTCTCAATACTCTACTTTGTGCTCCCAACTTCCGAAGAATCCGTTTAGCACCATCACACACCGACCACTGTCTGCGTGAAAATGAACAACTCACGTATTAAACGCCACAAATAAGAGTTACCTGAACTCAACATGAGCACTCTTTCTTGACCGTCTGTCTGAAACTTGAAGGAATTTCACCGTCGCCCTGTGTCACCCTGAGTCAAATTCACAGTTGTCTCATCCTTTTTCCGGATAGTCTCTGACATGTCCCACCGCTATAGCACTCCGCCTCCTTCTGTATTTGTCATCCGCACTTTGCCATGTGCACTGAACACCACAGAATATACGGCCATGTACTCTCTCTGTTTTGACAATTCCAGACTTCCCGCCACTTTCTCGGATTCTTCATGGTCAACTCTTGTCCATCAACTAGCACCGATAGACCTAGTCACCAACTTGAATCTAGTACTCGTCAACACTGCTTCAGCATCCTTGCACACTTTGTCTGACCACATGTCTGACCACCAGTGCCTTGGTCTGTCGCTGTGTCCCGTGCTTACCGCACGCCTCGCCGCTATTACCGCGTCGAGCCTCTGCTGTCCTGGTCGAGTCTCCCGGGTAGCAAGCCCCCACTGCAGAGAACCACCGATCATCACCGACCGATGCTGAGTATCACATCTCCATTAGACCACTAGTACCCAGTCTGAGACCACGTGTCTCTCGCTATCCCGCTGAAATAGGCTTCGATTCTCCGATATCTTACACGTAGCCCCTCCATCAGCACAGAGTGAAGTCGTCCATCAGACTCCAGCTCCACCTTCAACATGACTCCATGTAGCTGCACTATGCTACCCCGCGCCCTGTCGACTTCAAGCTCTCATGTGTACACTGCCTTGAATCAACCCCGCGCCTTAGTCTTGTCGAAGCCGCACAAGCCCTCGGACCTACACCACGTGTTTCCACGCCCCAGAAGTCGGCCACCATCAGCATCACGCTCCTGTGTCGTCATCGCTGAAATCACCGCCGTCTTCTGCTTTGACCAACACCCATGTCAGTCCATCAGACAATCCAGTCCGACCCAGCCGAAATTATCCGACTGCAACCATGCTCCACCTTGCGCCATGACCAGCCCCGTACATCTCAATGCATTGCTAGACGCCCTGTGTTTGCATGATCCTGTCACGACGCGCTTCAGACTCCTCCGAGCCTTATACGCATGTCACCAGCATCGCTACCTGCACCATAGACCATCACGCTACCATACACATACACAACCTGTGTACAAAGAAATAGAGCCAAAAGTCCACCACATGAGCCTTCCTTTATACACTTGTCGGTGAAGATCAATGGAATAAACTCCCCACTCCACAT